GAATAATTAAGGGTTGGAACACTTTCCCTATGAAGACAGGTTAAAGCACTTGGGGCTCTTTAGCTTGGAGAAACGGAAACTGAGGGGTGACACGACAGAGTTTTACAAGATTATACATGGGATAGAGCAGGTAGAGAAAGAAGTACTTTTCTCCCTTTCTCACAATACAAGAACTCGTCGGGCACTCAATGAAAATGCTGAGCGGTCAGGTTAGAACAGATAAAAGGAAGAACTTCTTCACGCAAAGAGTGCTTAACACATGGAACTCACTGCCACATGAGGTGGCAGCAGCTACAGACATGGACAGTTTCAAGAGGGAATTAGATAAACATATGGACAATATTAGCCACAAGGTATGGATGGGGACTTTCAGGCCGGGGCAAGTGATGATCTATATTCTTGGTGTTTGGGGTGGGAGGCAACAGTGGGAGAGCTTCTAGTGTCCTGACCCCACTGGTGGACCTCCTGATGTCACCTGGTGTTTTGGGCCACTGTGTGACACAGTGCTGGGCTAGATGGGCCATTGGCCTGATCCAACAGTGGCTTCTCTTATGTTCTTATAGGCATTTGAAGAGTCAGGTTCCCAAGATACAGAACACTGTATTATACTGAGTGGATTCCTCCTGGAGACTTGCTTAACACAGACCTGTTAATAAAGAGTTGATTGCCATGTGTTCAATTAAAGCAACAGTTAAATTTGAAATTCTGTGGAAACACATAAAGAATATACAGAAGAGTGCAGTGGACGCAGACTGCAGCTTCCTGACAACCCCAGCTTTCTATCTTACAATTTAAAATGTAGTTTTTAGCCTCAGCTATGGCTGAAGCAATCTCAGCAGCCAGAAAAAGATGGAACAACACTCACAATAGCGCTGAATATGATTTCTCTGTTTCTGCTGTGATGAGCAAAACCTCAATAACTTATGCAAAACAACTAAAATTGGCAGAATTATGTAAAATAGAAAATACGTAAATTTGTCCAATCATGTAAGTTGCGAAAGTCATATAAGTGGTCTGTTAAATTCAGCACAGAATTTAACATGGAATCCATTTCCAAGTTTTACAAGTCTTATCGCTAAAGCTGCATTCCGTCGACCATTAGCACACTTCCCCCCCCATGGACTTTGACCTCCTCCTCTAATAACTCTACTTCAACTTCTAATAACTCTACTTCAACTTGGCCCCTTTGCTCACCCCTCCCAATACTCAGTGGTTTCATATTTTCTTCCCTTATGCCAGGTGATGCTTATTGTTTACATGGCTATTAAAAAGCACCAATGGGGCCCCCCGAAATGGATCAGTCCTAGGGTGACGGATAACTTACACACATCTGTGCCATTTCCCCAACAGAAACTCTTCCCCCTGACTGCTTTAGAAGAAGAGAAGAGATTGGAGTTATACCCCGTCCTTCACTCAGAGTCTCAGAGCAGCTTACAACCCCCTTTCCCTTCCCCTCCCCACAACAGACACCCTGCTGTGAGGTAGGTGGGGCTGAGAGAGCTCTTTAAAGAACTGCCCATTCAAAGACAGCTCTGACAGAACTATGGCTTGCCCAAGGTCATCCAGCAGCTGCAAGTGGAGTAGTGGGGAATCAAACCCGGTTATCCCAGATTAGAGTCTGTGCAGTGTTCCCTCTAAGCTGAGTTAGTGTGAGCTAGCTCACAGTTTTTAAGCCTCTGGCTCACAGACTTTTGTCTTAGCTCAGGAAGGATGGCTCCAGAGCAAACTAATTTATGCAGCTGCCAAACCGCTCACTCACAACTTTAATGCCAGTAGTTCACAAAGTGGAATCTCTGCTCACAAGACTCCACAGCTTAGAGGGAGCACTGAGTCCGTGCACTTAACCACTACACCAAACTGGTTCTCTTTAGGTACACATACCTGTATTCACTGAAGAGGTCAGGGAGGCTTCTGTATGGCTCTCAGAGCACCTCCCAACTGGCCAGCTTACAGAACAAGGGCCTGCTTCGATTTAGCAATGAAACTCACCATGTGCCCATGTCCTTGCTAGCCACCCAAAGCAATGAAGAAGAAAAAAAGGGGGGGGGGACACCAAGTCAAAATGAAGAAAAACAAAACAAGATGACGCAGAGAGAAATAGAATATTTAATAGTTTTAGCCTCTACGCGTTTCGCATACAGCTTCGTTGGGAGGAATCCTTCAGATTTTTTTTGTTTCATTCCTATATATAGACCGGAGCAAAGCATATGTATAGGATTGGAATGAAAAAGAATCTGAAAGATACTCCCTGACAAAGCTGTATACGAAACACATACAGGCTGTACAACTATTAAATATTCCATTTCCCTCTGCACCATTTTGTTTCTTTTTCTTCCTTTTGGCTATCCTCATTCTGTGAGGTGTCAGTCAAAGAAGATATTTCTGGGCTAGAAGGACTAATGGTCTGATCTAGTATTAGGCAGCTTTGTATGTTCTCATGCCCCCCCCCCCAATTTACTCAGTACAGGTATCACACAAAGGCTTTGACCCAGGAAGTCAGGCTCAAATACTATCTCAGCTGTGAACACACTAGGCAGAGTTCCACTTGCTCAGCTTTCTTTCTCCAGTTCGTAAAAACAGCAACCCAGTAACCTACTTCTACCAGGGTGTTGTGAGAACAAACTTCACCCACATTATTTAGGTTCACCGCACACAGAGCAAAACTGACTCCAAAACAGAAGGATTTACACTGACTCTGTTTCTCTTTCTTTACGTCTACGAAAACATCAGCATTGGCCCAAGGCCATTACATCTAGCATCCCTTTCAACAGCCAGCCAAATGTCCTGGCAAAGGCTCACAACTGAGACAGGACCATGACAGCCATCCCCCTGTTGTGTTAGTCCTCAGTATTAAATTCTAAAGGTGGCCATGGCAGCCTTTTCCATTAAAAATAGTCTTCTGGAACCCAAAGACTAACAGAGTTATTGTTATCTAGAAATGCTTGATCCATCCCCAACACATCTTTGTTAAAATGTCCGTCACCTGTTTTTTGGTTTTTCCCTAGTTTGTTTTGCCTTTGCAAAAAAACAAAAAAAGAAACTTTTTGTCATTCCCTTGTAATGGAGCATCGAATCAAGTTCTAACCTTTAAGGCCTTGAGTGATGTAGGACCAACGTATCTGCAGGACTGCCTCCTCTGTTACACCCCCAGGGGAGCATTACGCTCTTCACAGAACAACTTCCTGGTGGTCCACAGCCCCAGAGATATCTGGCCGCCCGCAACCAGGGCAAGGGCCTTCTTGGCCCTGGCCCCGATGTGGTGGAACTCTCTGCCAAATAACACCAGGGCCCTGCGGGATCCTAAGCAATTAGACAGCGCCTGTAAGGCAGAGATATTCCACCAGGCATTTGGTTGGGGACAGCAATTGTTTACACAGCAATTGTCTCCTCTCCTTGCAAAGCCAGTTTGTTGCCCCTGTTATCCCTCTGCTTCCTATATACCATTCCTATTCCCCACACACAGGGTGCGTTCAGACGGGCCGTTTAGTTCACTTTCGGCCCGCCTCAGAAACGGATTTTATCTGCGCAATCACACAGTCAATATCTGCCTCCTGTCCCCAGCCGTCGCTTTCCGGCTCAAAACAGCTTTAACCCGGAGTATTTTGATACCAGGTCCCCAAGTGGTGTTTTCCTGATTCTCCGGTTCCAGCCGCATTTTCCCCCTGTGTTAGCACACTTCCGGTGTCGAACCACTTCCGATTTAAACCCCCTCCCCGCTCGAAAGCTGCCCGAGGCTTCCGCTTTTCGCCCGCCATTTTTAAAAAAGCGTTGGCGGTGTGTGTATAGGCGGAGGTCTGCCACAGGGTTATTAAAAACAATGTTTAAATGGTGCCTAGTTTTAGTCTTTAGATGAGTTCAGGATCTCACGGAGGCCATTTTCGGCAGTAAATGTTTAAAGGGAAGTGTTCCTTTAAAGTTTAAGGGAAGTGTTACAGCAGTCGGGTTGAAGTGGAAATTGCTGTTCTGCGCAGGCGTGAAACTTTTAGTTCCACAGATGGCTGCTTGTGCACATGCCCAAAATGAGAGAGAGAGAAAAACAACAGCGCAGCGATCCGGAGCAAGGAGGTGAGGGTGATCATGATTCTCCAGGTTAAAAATGACTGCATCAGGGCCAAAGCAATTTAAACCGCTCTCAGCATGCCATCTGACCACACCCACACCCAAACAGACCTTCTTCCCCATATAGTCCAACTGTCTCCCCTTACCACAGTCTCTATATGGCTGCCAAGAGGGAGAGAACGGGGAAGGGGCCCATGGGACTGGACAAGGCACACAATTTGTTTGAAAACAATTAGTCTGGTGGCACGAAAGACCCAGAGAGAAGCTGGGGGGGGGGGCATGGTGACTGCCGGCAGCCCCACCTATTTATCTCATACCTGTCCCTCCTACCTCACCTCTTTTTGCTATTCGTGCTCTTGAGGCCTGTTGACATTTTTAACGCTGAGCTGCTAGACTCGCTATTCCTCACCTCCTCCCAAGAACTGAATTCTTGGGAATGGGTCAGAGGTACATGCTAATGCAGGAGCACAGGCATCAGAGCACCACGCCAGCCACATCCCGCCAGTCTCGGCGGCTGCGGCTGCGGAGGTGTACCGTGAACTGCCGACGACCCCTTGCAGGACAATTTATGTTGCATGCACCTTCGAGTACCTAAAGAAACCTTCTTTTTTTAAAAAAACAAAAACACAACCTTTCTTTTTCAATGATGGGCAAATAGGCTAGTGCAGAACAAATTAAAACAGAAGGCAGGGACACCGTAATGAGGGAGGAGGGCAAAAAAAATGTGTAATAACGTGTGTGTTGGGTGTGTGTGTGTGTCAAGCAGTGACCCTGGGGTGGAAGCACCGACTGGAATTTTGCGAGCAGGGCTCCGCTGGATTGGGGAGAGCCCCCTTCCCTTCCCCTCCCTCCGCCCTCCCCGCGA